AGAGAGGGAACACAAGCAGGGGGAGTGGGAGAGGGAGAAGCAGGCTTCCCGCTGAGCAGGGAGTCCGATGCGGGGCTCGATCCCAGGACCCTGAGATCATGACCTGAGCCGAAGGCAGGCACTTAACGACTGAGCCACCCAGGCACCCCCTGAGGTTATTGTTTAATGTGTTCTTGGAATGTGAGGAATGCCTTGTACCTGAAGCAGGGTGAGCCAGGAGGAGAGTAGTAGATGAGGTCAGATTGTATAGAACCTTGTAAACCATGTTAAGGATTTAGGATTGATTCTGCATGAGATGGAAGCCATTGTGGAGACATGATTTAGCTTGAGTTTTAAAAGGATCATGCCAGCCTGTGACTGGAGAATAGACCATAGGGTCAGGAGTGTGGAAGTTTGGAGACCAGTTAGGAGACTATTAATATAATCCAGGCAAAAGATGGTGGTTTGAGGTGCAGGGGAGAAGTAATTGATGTGGGCTTTATTTTTAAATAGAGTCTGCAAGAACTGCTGGTGTGTGGGACATGGGATGTGACAGAGAAAAGAGTCAAAGGTAACCACAAGATTTTGGGTCCAAGCAACAGAAGTATGGAGTTGCCATTTATTGAGGTTTGGGAAACCAGAGGAAAGCAGGTTTCTGGGGGGGGGGGAGTTGAGTTCAATTTTAGACATATCAAACTTGAGTTGCTGTATGACATCAAAGTGAGATACTGAGTTAGCGGTTGGACGAATGAATTTGTAGTTCAGAGTAGAATTTGCAATGGAGGTTAGAAATGTGGGATTGTTAGCATATGAAAGAACTGAGAGAGAGTGCAAGTCTCAAGGAGAGAGTGGTCACCTGTGCCAAGCATTCCTGGTAGAGCCAATGAGATAAGTATTGACCTGTGTATTTGACCACATAGAGATGGTTGGTGACCTTGATGAGCACTTTGCATTGACTATTTAAGGGCTGCAGGCACCGGATTAAAGTGGGTTTGAGAGAATGGGAAGATAGAAAGTAGATTCAGCAGAAGTTTTTCAAGGAGCGTTGTCATAAGGGGGAATGGAAAGGAGACTATGTGGGCAAGGGAAAGTTTTGTTTTAATGTGAGTTATTGTGACATCTTTGTATACTGATAGGATAATTCCGGTAGAAAGGGGGAAATTGGTGATTCAGAAGGCAGTGGAGACAATTTCAGGAGTAAAGCCATTGAATAGGTGGGAGAAGGGTGGGATGAGTACATCGTGAGGGATTTGACTTCTAATAAGAACATGGACAGCTTACCTGTCATTGTGATTTCCAGCCCCAGTTTCACATCAGAATCATAGGGAGTGCTTAAAAAACACACTGACACCTGGATGACACCTTAGATCAGTGAAGCTGCAGTCTCCAAACAGAAGGCCCTTGGCATTGGCATTTTCTAAAAGTGCCCCATGTGCATCTCATGCAATCTGGCGGGGGGTGGGGGATGGCAGTAGGTAAGTGCTTGTGCAGGAAGTTTGATTGGGTGATAAGACCTTGGGGAAATGCTCCTGTTCTTCTGGTTTTTTAGTGAAATCTGAAGCAACATGGTCAGCTCAAAGAGGGGAGAAGGAGGGAACAGTGCTGGAGGTTTTAAGAGATTGTGAAAAGGGGCTTTGGAGAGTGTGAGAGGGATTTAAGTAGGGAAATGTAGGTTGGCCAGACCACGTTTGGGACTCACTTTGAAGTTTGTGATCATACATTTGAATGTGACCCGGTATGTTTTCTTCCAGCTGCTTGGAAGCAGGTGCAGAGTAGACAGAGTTGAATTTCCCAGGATTGGGGTTCTTGATATTTAGTCTCCAGTCAGAATTCAAGTATGAGCACAATTCTGTTTCTTTTCCTACAGAATAAAGGTCTTCCACCATGTAATGTATATGAGCTCCGCCATGTACCTGGTTGGATCCTGGGTGAAATGGATTATAGATAAAAATCTCACCTCCCTTAAATAAGAATGTGGTGCTCTTTATTCATTAGGGGAACAGAATGCTCTTAATGATTTGTTCTCTGGGTTGTTAAGGACTTGGTTTAGATCTCTGTGCATTGAACTCCACCTTTAGTATAATGGGTTACTTATGTATGCTGCTTTTCCTCTAGAAATCTACGTCTATATTGGAATTTTACCAAGAACTTGGATTGCCGCCAAAACAGAAAGTTAAAATCTTTCATGTAACAGATAATGCTGTGATTAAGCCAGGTAATCTGAGGCTGGGGAGAGGAGGGAGACAAAAATACCCAAATATGTGATTTGTTTAATGTTAGGCCTTTCAGTAAAGCTGAATCCACAATACAAAGTCCTAAACATTTATTTTTAAATACAAAGCGGTATCTGATTTAATCACTAGGGACAAACAAGCCTTTTTCTTTTTTGAGTGGAAAGAACTGTAGAGAACTCTTTGTTTTCATTAAAGAGGGAGGAGCGCTTTTGTTTTTAATGTACAGAGAGTTTCACATTTGGAAAAGCCACTCCAGATAAATACACTAACTTTTATTTTTTTATTTTTTAAAATACACTAACCTTTAAAATGTGAAGTTCACTCTGTGTAGGCTGTCATTTTAATGAGTGAAAAATAGCTAGACTCTCACTGAGATAGAATTTTCATGAAACAGGAAAGTGATTGACCATAGCACCTCGATGTAAAGATTCTAACTTAAAAATTTTGAAGTATTTTACCTACTCCCTGAAATGTCAAAAAGTAAGATTTCGCAGCATGGTTTTATTGGTTTATGTAGTCAACAGCATTTCGCATCTTTGAACTTAAGAAAAGCTTCCTGATCTCTTGAACTTGAGTTCTAACAAGTAGATAGTGGAAGGATGTTTTAAGATTTGGTATTTTAATATCTGAACTGAATTTCATGAAGTAAGTAAGCCTTGTTAATTGGAGTGATAGAGGATCAGCCTTGATTTAAGCTAGAATTAAAAGTATTTATTGAAGTCTAAGTTTTGTAGTTTGAAGCTAAAGTGAATGGAATTAAGGTAACAAGTATAAAAATTAAGTCCCTGTTAACTTTTGTTGTAGCTCAAACTGTGTGGAATTGTTTTTGTGGGTGAAAAGTGGTCAGGTATCAGCAGTTCAAGTTATTCAACCTCCTGGAAATTCAGTCAGTTTTAATCTCCCCTATTTTTCTTAATTCAGGGTTTTTCTTTGCCCATAAAAATCTAGGTTAAGTCCTACCCTCTGAAATCCCATAGTACCTTACTCCCTGTTTTAAGTAAGCCATAATTAGCATTCAGTTGCATTCTCTACTCTATTGATTATGGCTTTTTTTTTTTTTTTTTTTGAGAAAAAAGTCTCTGATGATGTTAATGTTGAGTCTTAGATAAATTCTTGAGGTCAGGAGCTTTGTCTTACCTTTTATATTTCTAACTGTACATATGGTAAGTGCCCTATTAAATATTTGCAGATTGTCAAATTAAATAGTTCTCATAGTGTTAATTCCAAATTGTTACAAACAAAATGTTGTGAAGGGCTTTCACTTACAAAATTCCTCTAAATAACATGTTTTCCAGTGCCTTTTAAGTAAGATTCTATTTACATACAACTAGTTTTGGAAATGTTAGTATATAAAACTAAGGGTATCAATAATGACAATTTTTCAGAATTCAAAATTATCCAGGCATGTGCTAGAATAACAGGAATTTATTGGCACAGTGACCAATCTACCAAAAATCTGATATATATGGGCTTTATGTGGATATCACACATACTGTAGTCACTGCCCAGTATACAATGGACCTGGGATCAAAACAGTTAAAAGTTAAAAAAAGTTCCTATTTTTGGATAACTTATCTCTAATGGTTAAAAAAGATTTGATCCAGCCGCAGCGTTTTTTGAGTCATTCTTTTGTTTTTATTTTGTTATATGAAATAGGAAACATATCTTAAGTCAGTATATTATTATTCACTAAAACAACAAAGAATCATCAAATTCGTGTATTTACCAGCAAGAACACTGTGTTTGTCTTGTGAATTGCCCATTTCAGCCAGTACCACGTTGCCTCTGTGAAGGCACAAGCCCATCAGCTACCCATGGTCTGTTAGCCTGACTCCAGCACCGTGGGCCTTGTCCTGGGACATGTTGTTCTTCAGCCCATGTACAGTCCATTAAGGCATGTTTGATGAACAGTTTTATTATTTTATTGTTGATGTTTCTAATAATTATAATTGTGAAGAGAATCTTCTACTTTTTTTGAAATCTGACAGGCTTCCTAGATGTAGTTTATGTTTAGTGAAGTTGGGCTGACAAATTTCATATCGATTGTTTGTTTTCTTTTCATAAAGGCACCCCTCTTTATGCTGCTCATTTTCGCCCAGGACAGTATGTGGATGTCACAGCCAAAACGTAGGTCCACATAACAGGTTCTTTTCCTTTTGTTTTCCTCATATATTAAAACGTAATGGAGCGAGTGAAAGTATAGTCTTTCAAGGCAGTGAATAAAGATTAAGTAACCATTATTCTCATTTGTAATTCTATAATGTTACTGACTATTCTAGATTTTAAATTGCACTGAATTAGTTGTATGTGAACATCAAGTTATAGGTTTGAAACTGAGATGTATGCTTCTTGAAATGGGACTACAAGAAAGGTCACATTACTTAGGTTCTTTGTGGGTTGGGCCCACTTCTATTTTTAAGACCAAAGGCTATATACAGTTTGATGGTGATCTATAAATGAACAATGCTATGGAGTTCTTTTGAGATTGTGTCATCTAGTAAATGCTGGTTCTTTCCAACTCTAGGAAGCATACTGTTTGTGATGGTTGTTGTGCTTAAGGTTCCCCTAGGGTAACTGTAAAACATTTTGTTAACTGTGTTAAGAGCCTGTCCGAAGCAGGAAGAAGTAGTGTTACACCTTAAGCCTCTGGTAGCATGGCATTGTCTCTCAGTACTAGACAAGTGAGACAGTGAGACTTCATAAAAACAAGATATGTTTTATCCGCAAACAAGGGTTTAATTTGGGAGAAATCAACACTTAATTACACTTAATCACACAAACAGAAATGCTGACTGTGAGTCATATTCAGACTGGGAGGAGAAGCAGTTTTTCAAAATTTGGTTAAGGTTACTTCACTAGAGAATGAAGTAACTGAGCCCTTATATATGTTTATGTAGAAATTGCTCAGTATATGTTAGTAGAATCTGCATGACTAGGCTAAACTAAACTCCAAATATCAGCTCTTGGCTATTCCTGTTTCTTGTTCCGTCAACACAGATGATGATTTACTTCTCTGTGTGCCTTGATTTCCTCCTTCTTTGTCATTCAACAAGGTCTGCAGCCTATGTAATTCTGACAGTGGTCCACATGTGCTCTGGGATTGTCTTACAATCACAGTGACTGAGCCAAAGAGCTTTTATCCAAGGAAACCAGAGCCAGCATTAGTTTCCTTAATGGAGTCAGTTAGATACACTTTTATTTCCACCCCATTATTGCCCCCACTTTCAAATATGAGCCATTGCAGATAGCTCTTACCTTTGATTAGCTGTTTAGAAGTGAAGTCAGATAGATTGACAATACAGTGGGTCCTCTTTTTAGAGATTATGGACTTCTCCTTTTTTTTTTCCCGCATCCTGATTGTTGCAGATTCATTCCTACTGACTGGGGCCTCTAAAATCACTTGGTAACTTTTCTTGTTCTGCCTTCCCTTGTCAAGAACTCAGAATATTAGAGCTGGAAAGCTTTGGTTTGGTTAGTCGGGGAGATGTGTGTGTGTTGTGAATCAGATAATTTTACTTTTTAATTTCTGAATTAATTATTACATATAATAAAGTACCTCAGTAATTCCGTTAATTTGCACAGAGGTAATAGTGTGTGAATTCCATTACATAGTTTACAGAATATATGAGATATTCCGAGAAGTCCTACAAAGTCAGAGACCTTTGTTAGCAGATGCTTTGTGGTGGGATTCATGACTAGCTTGGATTAGAGCCAAGCTTTTCAGATGCCTGTGTTCAGCAAATGATTTCATTCATACACTACCATTGGGTTTCTGGCTTCTTAAAAAGTTATTTTTAAAAACTTCATCCTTCTTCTTGTGAGTATAAAGTGAAAAGGAAAGTATTTTAGTTTGTTTTAAGATCATGTACCTAGAAAACAAGACTGTAAAGCCTGGTGCCAGCCTCGGGCCTAGGTAGCTGATAAGAGCTGGGAGAATAACTAGCCCTGGGATTTAAAGTAGTTGCCATACAACTCTGGAGAAGGGAGGACCTTCATTTGAGAAGATCCTCACTATTGTGTGGGCTGCAATACAGTGTTCTGTTGACTAATACCTGAGAATTTGCATTTCTCTAACAACTGCCCAGGTGATGTGGATGCTGCTAGTCCATGGACCACACTTTGAGAACCACTGGCCTGGAGAATAGTCAAGGGCTCACCAGTGGAACCGTTTTTCCTTCCTACTTCTTTCCTCAGCTTAGAATCCTAATCCCTTCCTTTCCCTAAACCTGTACTCAAATTATAACATTGAAACATCTGTTTTAAAGCAAGCAAATTTAATCAATCCAGTTTCAAATAACAGTGTCAATAAAAGTAGGCCTAGTTAGTACTCACATTTTAGTTAGCATAAAACTGAAAATTGGTCTCTTTAGTAATCAGTTGGCTTCATCATCATCTTTCCATTAGAAAAGAAAAATCTCAAATTAATCTCTAATTGAAAATCTTCATTTTTCTCATGCTGTAATAATTATATTTGTTAAATCTACACTTACATTTTGAGTATTTCAAGTTTTTTTACCTTATACCTTCAATTTTAATTGCTCGACTAAACGTATTTTAGAAATAACTAAGAAAATTTAAAACAAAATACCATATAATTTAAGAAAATAAAGTGTTAATAGAATCCACTTTGAGAATGACATCATCTGCATTTTTTTAAGGTGACCAGTGACCAACAGTAGCAGCTTCTTGAAGACTTCCCTAAAATTTTTAAATGTTTCTCTGTTAATAATTGATTGGGAACTCTGCTTGCATTGAAAGATACAATTTACCTGTGCCAAGTTTGTGTATTATTCTCTATACAACTAAGTATTTACCAGTGTTACTTTGGAGTGTGAGGTAAATACATATTTACCAGAGTTCATTTTAGTTTTTACTTTTATAACAAAAATAATTTTTCATCCAGAGGGTTTGAGAATCTAAATTCAATTTAGATTAATGGGAAAGATTTTTACATCTAATATATAAAACCATTCTAGCAGAATAACTTTTTAGTTGCATTATTCTGTTAACAGCTAATAAAGCGCTGTCTTTGAAATCTGACAGTTTTGTGTAAATCATTCTAAATAAATTTTAAGACTAGCATGTATCATGTGTCCCTCACACCCTCCCCTAGCACCCTTTTAAAGTTTCTATTCTTGTTCTGTAATGGCAGTTACATTCCGGCGTAACTTCTAATAGATGATGGTTTGGGGTCTAGTGTTCTCCTTTCTTTCACTCTCAGGTTTGAGGAGGAAACAGCTATGGATAATATATAAATAGTGTGTGAGATGGGGTGTGACTGTTGAGTCTATCCTCAACATAGCCCATTGTTTTCTGGTGAATCTTAGTGGTGCTTTTATTATATGTTGTAGGTTTTTTTTTATAAAAGGGAAGAAATCAGAAAAGAATGAAAGAATGAATAGACAAAAAGAAAACTGTAAAAATGCACTCTGCATTATTAGGGGGAAACGGTCAGGTCTTTGTCTGAAAGGACTTGAAGGACACCGATGGTGGTGATATCTCCGTAACAGTGGGTGTGGTGCACTTTCCTGCCAGGTCTTTTATTAAGCTTTGAAGTCATGACAGTGGCATACCTGAAGTAAGGGGTTTTTTTTCTGGTTGTCTGGAATTTATTTATTTATTCCCTTGTTTAAATTCTGAAGCCCACACTGAAGTCAGAAAAAGTTCATTCAGCTACTTTAAAAGATTCTTTTCTTTCTGGGTAAAGGATAATCTAACAACCTTGTCTCCAAGTCTGGGCTAATTAGGACTACCCATATATTTTCAGACATAATCTTATTACTTTAAAGTTATCAGTGCTCTTTCAATTCGTACTGCCCTTTGGCCTCAAAATAGAAAAATAGGCACTTACCTTGATAATGTTATCCCTGGTAGTAGAAGTGAAAGGAGTGGGGGAGATTAGATGACTAGTAGAGCACCTTTGCACATTTACTGAGATTTGTTTAATTTGGGTTCTTTCATTAAAATATCACATTATGTACAGAAATATGGTTGCCCATCAAAGTCTTAAGGTGATTAAAATGCCAGGTGGATTCTTAAAAGAGCAAAGACTCTTTGAGCTCTATGCCCAGTCCCTCCCTCTGTCAGAAAGCTTCCCCACTAGACCCCTGTTCTTCTGTTTCGCAGATGTTTGCTCGAACACTAGGAGGGAAACAAGGCGTGTGCCGCCTTCAGGACACTGTTGCTGTTTGGCCCTGTTCATTTCCAGTTTTATGTCATTTTTAATAAGTTACTTTATTTTCTATTCAAAGCAGTACATTTTTAAGCATAGTAATGAAACAGTTTTCAAAACGAGTGATTAAGTGTAGAAGGAAATCATCTCTATAAAAACTAATCCTTTTTAAATCAGTCAAAAGTGAATGTCTGTTTCAAGATAAAGGAGAGTTTGGAGGGTGGTATTTTAGGGTTATATTTTGTTCTTTGCTTTAAAAATTTGTATAATAATCATTTATAATAGCCTCACTTTTAACTATGAGATAGCATTTTTTTTTAACTCAAAACCAGCAAAATTAAGGCCTAATGAGAGACAGTATAGGGAATGGCTAAAAGGATGGGCTTTGCTTCTCAGTAGCTGTGTGACCTAGATGGCTTTCTCAACCTCTCTGTTGCCTCATCTTTAACATGAGAATAATTATAGCACCTGCCTCATAGCCATGTTGTAGACTGAATGAGATAACACACAGATAGCTATCAGCTCAAGGCCTGGCACATATTAAATGCTCAGGAGTATTGGCTACTATCACTATTGTTGATATTACTGCTTATCAATTTGTTTCAGATTTTAGAAGGAAAAATCTTTTTTTTCAATAGGAAATATCTTTTAAAATGAATAAAAAACATGAAGTCATTAGGAATTCTATTGTGGGATTTTCTAATATGTCTAGTTATTGCCTCCTTAAGGCTGACTTGTAAAGCAAAGTTGTAGCTTTCCAAGCAGTCTAGGTAATTTTAAGATTGCATACTACCTGCTACATCTAAATATTACTGAGTAATGAGGATGCCTTTGAAATAGCTTCAGGCCACTCCGATGTGCTGGACATTTTCGTATTTTTGCTCTAAACTGTTTCCCAAGAGGCAGTATGACCTGGGTTGAAAACATGGCCAGATGCTTCCATTTACCAGGGATC